TTTATTTTAACTTATATTCCATATATTTATAGAATTTATAATATAGGTTGCTATTTGAAAATCAAATGTAGTGGTAGTGGTAAACAACATTTTTGATTTTCGTAAATCCATTAACAAGATATTCCACTTTTAAGTTTAACTAAAAGAAGAGTAGTAAAGTATCCTTTGCGAGGCGGCACGGCTCGCGGCGTTTTATTAATGCTCCACTACTCTCCCCCTACCTAAACTTAAAAATTTAAAAAATGAGGTGAGTACGCTTAGTGAATTAACCTATATCTTGTTGACAAAGGAACACTATTAGCTGAACTCCATTCAGAATCGTTTTTTTGTCAGCAATGGTTACTCGTTGAGTACAAATATACATTCAATTTCTCCTCTGCTACCTTCCAAACTTCTCACCTACAACAGTGGCCGACCCACGTGCGAAGTATGTCCGTCTTTTTTTAATCTACATGTTATGCGATGATCAAATATAATTATACCTCCCTTCTTGACGAATTCCTAAACACGCCACTGTATTATTACAAATATTAATTGTATTATGTGTAATATGTATATTGTACAACCCCAATGATACCTAATTATACTATAGATTTAAATAACGAGTAATTCCAAACATAATAATAGTATTATAAGTAAAACGTGGCTGAATTCGAGGAAATCGCATTCCAGTACCTATACAACATAAAATAATATCGTCGTCGTCGTGTCGTGAATAAAATCACATAGCGAATACTGTCTGTACACTGCAGCAAAAATTGACGGAATATCAAGATTTCAAAAAACGCTCGTTAAATAAATAACAATATTTAACACGAGTAGGGAATAGCGTACCTACGCATAATGCAAATTTCAAATATGACATTCGGATATAAAAATACGTCCTAAGATAATGGGGACGGGTGCAGCCACTGTTATAGGTAATTTATTGTATACCTAGTAAGCAACGATAAACCATTACTTACGAAAAAACGATTCTGAGTGGAGTTCAGTTGATAGTGATGCTTTTTCAACAATATATATGCCATATTATAGACTAAAGTAAAATAATTAAGTAGACTCTATATGTTTTCTTTAATAATATGTGTTTAATGTTGTACCGATTTTCCACGGTTTTCTTACATTTTTCCCGGTTTTACTATGTTTTTCCCCGTTTTTCACATTTGCTGAGAAAACTCCGAAGAAACTCGAAAAACAACCTTTTTAAAGTAACTCCTAACATCGATTTCCTTTCAGAAAAATTACTACACGTAAATATCGGAGCAAGTCTTTCTGTAGAAAAGCTGTCCACTGAAAAAAAAATAAACATCTTTGTAAAACCATAAGCTTCTTTGCTTCACTCAGAATCTAAAATACATCCACTAAATAAACATATACGCCTAACAATACTTATACTAATAGAAGTAATAATATCTGACTGTGTGAAAACGTTAAATAATTTTTGTTAAAATAACACCCGTGAGCAGCAAAGCTGAGAGCTTCGTCACTTGAAATCGAGTTTCTCCGAGCATATTTTCCACTAGGTATAGAAATATTAAATATTCTTTATAAAACATTTAAATAACTGATTACAAAAACAATGCTATACTATTACAATTCATATATTGTTTGCAAGAAAAAATATAGTGTAATTCAATCATAAAAATATGACTGAGGATTGAAAGTTAAAACCGCCAAAACCAAAAGAAACATCCTTAATTAATACAAATGTTATGCATAAGCAAAATATCATCTCTCTGGCTTCATTTGGGAAGTTTGTAGAAATATAATAAAACTAAAAACACCTTCATCCCAAAACAAAATAGTTCAATTCAAATTGAATTTCAACCCAATTTTTATCACTTCAATTCATCTACAAAACAACTCTAATTCACGAGTTTGAGCTCATTCGATCATTAAGAAATTGCTAAAAATGTTCAAAAGTATCGAGAAAGACATAAATTGTATAATATATGTATTTATCTGTGTTTCAGTCTCCGCGTCAGAAAGTAAGAGACTCTTTATTGGCTCTTTAATAGTCGTCGCCGTCGCCGTCGGTATACCTTTGCATCAGGACCCTGTATATTTTAAACTTCATCACGTTGAAAATAATAATAACAATTCTTATTCAGCCCGGTTTTAAATAATAATCAACCCGGTCGTAAAACCCCACGTATTATATAGCAGCACTATAATAATACTACGAAACTTTAAAGAGATATAAAAAAATAAACCAAAATAAAATTCAAAAGAAACAAACCATATAGACTGTTGAATTTACACGTTTTTTCTACTCAAAAAACATCATTGTATAAATAGGTAATTTATTTAAAATTCGAATTAATATTATTATTAATATTATATTACGTCAAGTTGTATTCGTTTTAATAACACGCTGCATTCGTTAATTCATTGACAATATGTTATGTATTATATATATGCAACGACAATGTCTTTATAAATTATATAACATAAAATAAAGCCACGGAATTCTCGATATTCTCGTATATTATATGACGAACAGCATTTAATGTTACAGCAATTTTTAGATTTAGTAATTTAAAGTTTTGCGTTAAAATATGTTTTCCGACCATTAAATTGCATTAAAAATATATCCTTACGTGATGTTTACAAAAAAAAAAAAAAAATGTTCACGTTTAAATTTTAAAATTTGATCGTAAAGGGGTCACTAAAAATGTTAAGACCACTTATTACTGTTTTAGTTTATACTATTTAATATAACTTTTATGTTGTAAATTTGTCTACATTTTCTCTATTTTTTTTTATAAATTCTGTTAAAACTTTAATCACTCTGTATATTATTTTAAAGTCTGTTTTATTTTAGGTATACTTATTACTTATATATTGTTTACCAATCGTTTAAATATTTGTAATGTTTACGCTTTTTTTCGGGAATTAAAATGGTAAACGAACCGCAAAGCTCGTTGATAGAAATAACATATTATAAACATGAACGTATTGAAACGTATGTAAACAAATATATTACAGGATATCATTATTATTATTATTATTATTTTCAAAACAAAACAAAACTAAACGAAAATAGATAAATTGTGTTTAAAAAAATACTTACGGCCATAGCGAGATTACATTTCGAATAAGCCGGACATACTTCGCACGTGGGTGGGCCACTGTTGCAAGTGAAAAGTTGGAGGGAAAATTTAATGTACGCATACTATATCTGTACGCAACGATTAACCATTGCTAGAGAAAAAACGTTTCTGAGCAAAGTTCGGTTAATAGTGTTGCTTTGTTTACAATATATATGTTATATTATGGTAAAATAATTACATATTCATTATATATTTTCTTTAATAATATTTGTTTAATATCGTACATATTTTTCCGGTTTTTCCAATACTACCCCAGTCAGATTTATTTTTAGATAATGTGCTATCATTGTAAAGCGGAGTGGAATTGCTAGTAGAAAAGTCGTTCGCATGAAAAAAAAGGACCATATAATTTTTTTATTATTACCTAAAATTCGTACATTTTCCCGTTTTTCCTCCGTTTTTTCTGGTTTTTCCTATATATAATTTTTTTGAAAAAACACACCATGATTTTTGTTTTAATCGATTTTTAATTGTTAAAACTTGTGTTGACGTGACATTATTGTCGAAAAAATACAATTAATTTTTGTTATTTAATTTTTATTACTTTTAGATAATTATTTTTTTTTTTTTAACTAAAAAAAATATACGGAATTGTTATACTACTATTTTTTTGGATATCTGATAAAAAAAAATATAAATAATCTTGTATATTAACAGTTAACAAGACCAATGGAGAAATCCCATAACACCTTCTACCCTTCTGGGTACACTACTGTTTCCGAGATACGGTTGTTGTTTTTAATTTTGTGTGTTCTTATATTTCGGTTATTCACCATTAAACCAATTGTATTTCGATTTCCGTCTAACGAGAGCGAGTTAATCGATTTCACACTTCCGTTTCAGAGTACAGGTAAACATAAATGAATATAATTCTTATAAATAATAATAGGAGAAGTCTAAAACGAATTTAATATAATATGCATATTTTATTATACACTTTAAAACAATTAATATGTGTATATTATATACGCACTCATATTTTTTGCGGTATGCTAACGTACATGGTAATTTTCAAAATAATTTCAATGCGAGATTTTTACGTATCTTCCCTCAAATCCGCCACTGTCTAAATCTCTCCGGCTTCCGTTCAACTGCCGCTCTATCTTAGCTCGGTTTTCTTCCTTTGATATTACGTAACGTCCCAGCCACTATATAGTTTTTGCCCCTTGTTATAAAAAAAACGCACCTTCGTGAATCTCCTTATTTCCGCGTTTTTTTTTTTCTATATACGCTTGCAGTATCACATAATCAAAAACTAGTCCATATATTTTTTATATATACCTACTGTTAATGGGGTAATTTAGTTCTTACTATATAATTTAAATAGATAATATCTGATACCTGATACCAGATACTTGGTTCTTTAAGTTAAAAAAATTGAAAGATTAAAAATAAAATTGTCATTGGCAACCGTTTTTATTAATTTTTTATAATCGTTAAGTTTATATTATTTTAATATTTTTTTAAATAATCATTATTTTCACAGAAACGCACATTGTAATCATTTTACCATAATATGATGTGAGTAGTATAATAATGTATGTTCTGGCGCAATTGATATTTATCACAATTTCAACAATAATTTTTACACTATATTTTTCTCAATCTTTTAAATATCAAACTGTTGATATTTATCACAATTTTAACAATAATTTTTACACTAATTTTTCTCAATTTTTTAAATATCAAACTGTTGATATTTATCACAATTTTAACAATAATTATTACACTAATTTTTTTCAATTTTTTAAATATCAAACTGTACCAGAAACATTTAACAAAACTATTAAAAAAGTTATATAAAATAAAAATTTAGCCCATGATCCCCTAATTGATATTAAAAATTGATTTCATATTTCAACGTTGAAACATTGATTTGGAATTGAGATGTTGAAAACTAAATTTGATATTGATATGATGAAAAAGTTGAATCGACATTTCGCTGTCGGTGTTAAAAACTTTGGTAAGCTTAAAACTTGAAAAAACATAATTAGTAAAAGATAAAAAAAAAATATTTGATATCACAACCTTATACCTGAAAAATAGCTTTTCGAAGAAAATGTATATTACCGAATAAGAACCACTCATAATTAGTTTTTAAAACGTACAAAATAAATAGGTTATCAACTTTTATCTATAATATTACAATATTCTGTCTACCGGAAACATTAAATTCGTTATAAATCATAGACATACCAAACGGAAATTTTATGTATCCTCAAAAAAAAAATCAGTTGTAATTTTCACACATAAATAGTTGGACGTATCGCAATCATTCCCAGGCAATTTTTCATATAATAGCGAATTGATGATAAACCAAGAAAAATTACCTGAGATAATGCAGAGCGGTTTCTCGCACAACAATTTTTGGCAAAAAACGATTGATGAAGATGATGATGGAAAAATACAGTATAGTAAGTTTTTTAGAAAATTTGTTATTATTGAATCGCAATGACCACTCTGAAACTACTTGTTTAAAAAAAATCTTTAAATTCTTGGATTACCAAAGGAATAATCATATCAATTAAAAACATAAAATTTAAATAAGGTTATAAAGAAAAGTGAAAAAATCATAATTCAAAAGGTCGTGATAATTTGATTACATTTATTAGTCACTATATTATAGATAATATTATAACCATAATTTCTAATCTAATTAAATCAACAATAACCAAAAATGTAAAAGAAGCAAACATGTTTTCAGTGTCATTAGACACAACACAGGATATATCAGTAGTTAATCAATACTCTATTATCTTACGATTTGTAAATGATGAAATGATTAATAAAAGATTGATATCTGTAAAATCATGCACTGATTCTACTGGTAAAGGTATGATGAACCTTTTACAAAATGCAATAGAAATGGTTAGCTTAAATATAACACATTATATTGGAAATTCTACAGATGGTGCCGCTAATATGAGAGAGGCATATAATGGATTTACTTCTTGGCTAAATGTATCAGCTCCTGAACAAGCACACATTTGGTGCTATAGTCATGTTCTCAATCTTATAATTAGCGATGCAACCAAAAGTCCAATTGCAGTAGCTAATTTTTTTTTTAATTCATTCTTGTGCAGTTTTTTTTAAGAATCATACCAAAGAATGAATATTTAGAAAGAAATTAGTGAAAAAGATCAATATAATAATCACAAGTGGTTACAATCAATAGGTGAAACAAGGTGGACAGCCAAACAAATAGCATTAAAAAGAATATCTGGTTCATATAATAGCACTGATGATAATGGAATGTTGACTGATCTTATAATTTTTTTTTATAAAAATTGAACAAAAATCAAATTCAAACCCAGATGTAAGATCTAAAACCAGTAATTTTATTTCATCTAGCTCATTCATAGCTTCATTCATAGCTCATAGGTATATGAAAATATTTCAAATCACAGGACCATTATCAAGATATTTACAATCGAGTAAACTAGATCTTTTAAAATGTCAACAAATGGTAACAAGTGCTTTAGAAAGTCTTAAAAATAACCAAAGTAGTATGAAAGATGTAAAAAAGTTAGTGATAATTATATAATTAATATTAATAATGAAATTATAACTATGGCTGATCGTTTTAATTTAACTGTCGAAGAAATTCAGTCAGAATTCCAAATTAAAAGAATATCTAAGAAAATGAAGATCTTATTGCTACCAATGCTACCCCTAAAAAAAAATGTACAACTGAATTATAAAAGATAGTATTAGATATAATAACAAAGAACATGACTACTAGATTTGTAAAAAATAGTTCTTTATATTTTGATTTATCATTTTTATCGCCAAATAATTTCCCTTTTAATAATGTGCCAGAAAATGCATTTTTAACATTGACTAAAAAATTTAAATCATTACATCTTCATGGTGAAGAAAATCTTGAAGAAATAAGAAACGAACTCTCAGAGGAACTATTTAATTTCAGTAAATTGTGGAAGTATTTGAAAAATTCCTTAGAAGATGAATATCATGTTCATAGTATATCAAATAACATGAATGATGAAGATGAAAATCAAGAAGAGGAAAACTTAGAAAACCAATTAAAACCTTGCAAAACTACTTGTAAAAATTGTGCCATTTGTTGTTACACATTACTAGTTAAGTACAACTAATTTTCTAATGTTTACAGTTTATTAACTCTAGCTTATTAGTATCTATTAACCCTAACAGTTTCTCAAGTGTCCTGTGAGAGAACTTTTTCCACGTTGAAGTGCATATAAAATACACTACAGAACTCAATGACTAATGAGCATCTGGAAGAATTTATGTTAATGTCAATTGAAAAATCAATACTCATAGAATTGGTTAACGATGTTATTACCAACGAGTTGGGTAGTAAAAGTAATCTATTAAGTAAATTGTTATTGTAAAACATTATTATTTATTTAATTAATATTTATTTATTTATTAATTAGAAATATTTTTCTAATTGATTGAATCCCATTTATTAATGACATTGTAAATACTTAATTTAGATGTACATATTTAAACATTTTTTATGTAGTAAATCTGTGTAATTAAAATTTTTTAAAACAAAAAGTCAAATTGTTTTACAAAATATATATATATATATATCTGATCTATTTGTATAAATAATACCTGTGTATAATTATGTACTTAGAGGGAGTTTTTTTGTTTCAAATACTTGATATAATGATCAAAAAATTTTATGCTTGATACTGTTTTACACAAAAAAAAAAATAATAATAAAAATAAAAATAAATATGTATGGTAGAATGGTGGATATTATAGAAGGGATGTTAATAATATTAATTGGGTGATGAAAGTTTCTACAAATATATGGTCTAAAAAAGTGTTTATACATTAAACAAAAATTATAAATAGGTATACAACTCTCAATATGGTATCAAAAAATGTTAAATATTGAAGTGGCCTGAACATATATACTTTCCCGGTAAGAATTTTCGAGCCACTTCCCCCCTGCAAATAGGTTCCAAAGTAGCTTCAAGAAGAGTAAATTCTTGTCACAGTGAAGTTGAGACCAAGCCAGATGAAGTTTTCAATCAGTTTTGTATAAAAACAGAAAACTTGAATTTATTTTCTAAATTAATAATATAGAATATCAAAATATGAATACTATTATGTTCATTGTTATTAAATTCCTACACGGGCGAAACTGAAACTGAAGTTAAAAACTTGCAAAAGCAATTTGATTTTATGATGAAAAATTATTTTTGGGTGTGATAAAAACATTCAGAGTATTTATACATTTTTGGGGTGCTATTATTAAGTTTTGGAGTGCCATTCGGCTTCTTAATAGGTACCTATATGTCAAAAGTCTCTGATGGCTTTAGAATAAAATTAGGTTCTAAAAAATATTATTTCATATCCTCCTCCACAATAAAATCCTATATAGGCCTCTGCATAGACAAAAAAAAACATTATTCATTTAATATAGAAATCTAACTTTATTAAAGCTAATTTTTTCGCAATATTTTACTACAAAAGTTATTTTAACATTTTCTTGCTTATAAATATATTGTATTTAAATATTGTAGAAGTATAAACAAACGAAATTTAAAATTATAAACCGAGGTGAACGAAGTCGGACAAACGCAAATTGCCATTTTAGTAACGAGTGAGACAGAAATTAAACTACCGTGGGAGGCTTACAACAAACATGTTCATATTAACACTTTAAATAATCCATGGTGCTTAAGTGCAAAACAAATTTTTGAAATGTATTTCAAATACCTACTTTATGAATGAATATATTTGCATCTGTATTTAAATACAATTTCAAAAGTTTTTTTTTTTTTACAAGATTGAATAAAACAGTACGTTTTTTCCAACAACTCGTTAGCCTATGCTAATCTAAAGGCGATCAATGCGCTGTAATAATATAGACAATATGGTATACATCATAATATAATATTATATAATATTAATATTATTTATGCTACATTTTATCATAGTGGACACCACTTCATTTTATTAGTTTATAAGTCAATTTAGATTAATACACATAGTATGTATTATAGTTAAATATCTCGTATGATAATAAAACATAATAATGAGAACCGGACAACACCACTCCACTATTTTCCCCTTTCTTACTCATAAGCGACTCCTCCGTTCACTCGGCCACCGGATCCTGCCATGGCGACTGGTCATCTTTTGCGCCTTCCCGCGAGTGCGTGTTGTTCCGGCTTCTAACATTCCGATATCGTCATTTTTAATTTAATCAAGTGTTTATTTTATCATTCCTACTATCTATTTTCATCAACATAATAAATAAATATAATTATACCTGTATTCAAACTCAACATTGTTGCTGAGGATACTCCGTTCAGGATAGGTAAGTATGTTATTGTTATCCTTCATAGTGTATATCTTATGTTAATTATTTCTTGCCGTTGTAGGCTGTAATAGGTAATCTAAGTGATTAGTGGGTATGCATTCATTTATTTTGTACCCCTATATTCACTTTATTACAGCGCGATGCAGACGTGGATCAAAATAGAATCCATAAATAGTGTTGCGGTATAATCGACAACTGGTTGTCTGCATAAAGCCATTATCTTATGTTGTCGTTCATTTAAAGGAGTTAATAATAATCAATAATTTATTTATTAATTGTTAATTTGTTTATTTATGTTCCTATTACTTATACACATTTAGCGCCTCAGCTAGAGTTCTAGAGACACTTAACACTTAAGTACGAGTAGCCACTAGCTAATTGGTTGAAACGTCTGAAAATGTGTGTTTGTGCTCATGACTATGTAAAAATGTCAAGCCCCCTCCCACAGATGTGTCCGAATATCTGTCTATCACTATAATGTCGAGAAATACGAATGCTTAAAGGAGTTGATATAGGCAACCGGTCGAGAAATGAAACGCACAATAGATAACAGTATCCCCGAAAAATGAAACGCCATCGACTTATCTATTACCAATTACCAGGTGTTATTTGATTATTTGCGATCGTGTCGCGGAACGAGTAACGGTGATCGGCTCGTAAAAAAACAACGTTATCGGTCGTTCAGAAACATTTTTCGTTTACAACGATTTATCGTTACGTGCGGGTTTATAAATTAAATTAATTATCCTACACAATATCCTAGTTTCTTAATTTTCCACTTAAACAGTGACCCACCCGTGGTGCGAAATACGTCCGATTTTTTTCCGAGTGGTGTTTTTGTAGTTAACCATTGATTATATTATAAAACCAATGATAATACACTAATGTGTGAAACGATTTTTACATCAATAAGCAACACTATAAAATCATACGTGTATAAAAATGTAGTATGTAGTATATTGTATACGCAAATAATATTATAAAATAATAATAGTGAACAGAAATACAATTAATTATACGGCCATACAACGAAATTCGGAACGTGCGCTTATGTAGGTTAAAATCGACGACTAACACACAGGTCCAGTGGCGCAATCGGTTAGCGCACGGTACTTATAAGACAGTTGTCGTGAGCAATGCCGGGGTTGTGAGTTCGAGCCTCACCTGGACCAAAAATCTTTTTTGCATTTTTTTTCAGCCTTTTTTTTTACACTAGTTCAATTTTTATTATCGACTTTTACATTCTTTCACGATATTTCCCTTGTACATTTACACACACACAACTCCCCTTTGTCGACGGAGATAACCGACATTGTTTCATTTTAATACAGTTTCGCCGAATATTTTAGGAGGTACATTTTTCGTTTTAAAAGTTTTCTCATTTTTCAAATCAATGAAGGTACTCTAAAGACAAGTGACAAATCATTCGACCACAGAGCGTTGTTCTTTAAAATTTCGAGCAAAAAAAAAGTAAAAGCCAAAAGAACACAAATTCTGTAGAATATTTATTCTACAGAACTGTATTCGAGAGACCACCTATTAATTACCTATGTACCATGTAGTTCCTACTTCTTACATATGTACTAGATATGTACTATATAAACAAATTAATAATTATGCTTAAAATATTTATTTAAATAAATCAAATTATTTAAGAACTTGCCTACTTATTTACTTTATTTACATATATAGTATTAATTATAGTCGATTTTGTGGACTGGCCGGCCTGGTCCAATCGATATCCAACTTAGTCCAGTCTCGCATTTAATACCCAGCTCAGACCAGCACTGTCCAGTTGATATCTAATACTTAGCCTGGCGTGTGGAGTGTTTTAGTCCTCGCAATATATTAAAAACTAATTAATTAAATAAAAATAATGTACAAATATTTATAAATATGTCACTGATAAATAATTTGAATTAATAAGTTTTTTTATGATGGTGTCATTAACACCCTGAGGCAACAATATCTGACAACCTCTCTCCTCTCCCCCTCTAATTTGTTAAAATTGAAATCACATTATTAGCGCATTAATTAACCTCATTCCATAAATAGTTAAATATGTTTAATATTTACTTATTAATTAAAAGTACTTGCTTATTTATTTTTATTATTGTACCTAGTTTTATTTAGTTTTAAAATTGTTTGAAATTGACCCCAATTTCATTATTTTAGCTACATTATAGAAAAAAATTGCATTCATTAAATACATATAATTTTGAGTTATATTGTACAATAGTGTTTTAATAATTTTTTAACGTTTAGTTAATATTACGAAATTTGTAAACTATGTATAAAACTCTTTTAGATTAAATAAAAAATTGTATCCTTGCATCACGTTTAGCAAACTTTTCAACAATATCAGTCAAATCTATGCTTCGGACAAATTGATCTTCAATTCCTAAAATAGATAATACTGATGTTTTTTCATTTGCCAAAGATAAGCATAAATAATTTTTAACTCTCATAAGTACAGAGAAAGATCTTTCACCACTTGCATTTGAGCATGTAATACAAACAAAAATTTTAAGTGCAATTTAAACATTAGGAAACATCATATTATGTAATGGATTATTAGGATATTTAAAATTTTTAACATGCCTTGCATATTTTTTATATCTTCTGGTAAATTTGACATGTTTTTTGAATTGAATAATTTCCTCGACAAAATCTGTTTCTAAATCTTCATGGTACATTCTTACTAAATCATAATGCTTGTTTTCTTAAATTGTTAGACTTCATTTTTTCAATTTCATAAATAAAACCAAATTTATTGTACAATTCTATATTATTTTCTTGAGTTGCGTGATCAATATGATTAGAATAAATATTTTAATTTTCATCTTGTCTTTACTAGAGTATAGTTATTCACCTTCAGAATCTTTTCCCCAGAAAATTTGTCTTAGTTGTTGAGCTTCCTCTAAAAATATTCTAAAGTTATTTGCTTAATCTTGAACATAATGTAATAATGAATCATATAAAGAAACTACATTCAACAAACCATTCTGATAACAGTTAACATTGTTTGGTAATATGTATGTTTATACATTATTGAAAACATGATACACTTACACATTATTACAGTATAAAAGGAAAATTAATATCCAAAATAAAACGCCACATTTTTCTTTTTACCATTCATTTTTATGACTCCTAAATTCATAATACTTTGGACGACCTTGGGTATTTACCCCTTCCTCTTGGGATAGCTAAAATTGGGTTTATTTTTCATAGAAAATACACATCAATTTATGTACACACATAAAACAACACTAGTACAGAATATACAATTAAAACACATATTAATAATCAAAGATTTTGAAATTATGACAAACAAAAGCGGTTAGATATTATATAATACTGTGTAGTTAAATTTTTATCATAATTAGAGAAGGCGAGTAAAAGTTAAGTTTGATTTCAAGTAAAATGGTTAAACATTTTTACTATGAATATAAATTATTCAGAGTTAAAATATTATCTTAAACGTTATTGATTTTTTTTTTTTTTTTAGTGTACAGGTTGACATTTTATTTAAATAATAATTTTGATAAATTATGTTAATTATCAGTAGATAATAATTATTTCATTAGTAATAAAAGAATTTCAAATCAAACTGTATTCAGTTTATTTGTTTAATCCAAAAACTTTACCTACACGCAAGGAATAACATTTCTGGGAGATTCCAAAATAAAACAATTAAACATTTTTAAATATAGAACTAGTATATAATAAGTTTTTGCAATTTTGGAATAGTTTGAACAACTAAATTCACTCCCCCCCAATCACTATTGTACGTGCTTCATCATATAACATTTATATTATTATGTATATTAATAATGAAATTTCTATGTTTGGGTATAGTAATTTTATCATATTATCGTGTGATACAAATGCATTTTTAGATTTGATAATTTATTAACGCATAATACATAAGTTTTAAAAGTAAAGATACACACAAAAGAATAATTATTAACATTCAGCCATTATCTTAAAAATAACAATATCTTATATTTTTTATCATTAAACAATACCAGTTGGCTTCATGATTGGGCTGGTTGGAGAATTATTTAAACTTGACATGGTTTCTCTTACCTGAAATTCAACAGTTTTTGAGTAAGAATAAACATAAAGTGTGCATGGATGTTATTAAATAGGCAAATTTTATTATAAAATTCAATATTTTTAATATAACAAAATATAATTGGGTAACTAAATTAAATATTCATTCCATCAGAAAAGTTTTAAAAGTTTGGGAGATTAAACTATTAATTAAATAATAGTATCTTTTAATAATAAATATTAAAATTTTTAGTAAATTTGTTTTAATAACAAACAGTGTTTGAAAACACTACATTCTAGATTATAGGATATACAAAATAAGAATTTATCATTGATTATTAGATTGTTAATTACACATGTACTTACTTTTCCAATGTTTTGAAATAAGAAACTGCTTGCCATAGTTGAAATCCCGGTGGAGTTTTGGTTTCCACCTTTGCATTTAATATATCCATATAAATTTGCAATGTTCAATGTCAGCGCTATGCTAACCAATAACTACAAAATCAAAATAAAAAACACGTTATAGATTATATTTTAACTAAACAAACCAATACACAGTCTGCTTACCAGCCATTTGAAATTTATACTAAAAAAACAAATGATAAAGAACAACACCCAAACTGCAGTAACTGACCATAGTCCAGCCCAAAATATTCTAGATTCGGTTGGGTTCACTCGATGCTGCACAAGCCCCTGTTGAAAAAGGGAACTAATAAAATTCACCGTATCTTTGATTTCTAAAGAGAACAATAACACATGAATATATATAGAATATATTTTATGCAATTAATTCATTTTTTTTGAAAACAAAAATATGCGTTCTACATATACCAATACATAAATATTGAACATATGTATACAATTTAAATATAATATAATATATTATGTTGTATAAATAGAACGATTGTAAACAATAAGTCATTTTGTATAAATTTATATACAGTGATTTCTTTTATCATGAACTAGCAATTATCTCAGAGGATTTTAAGTGAATTTGATTTCTGTTTTTTCTAATCACTATGAAATCATTGAGGCTTTAATTTAAAACCATTTTAATTTTTCACACCTAGTCCATATACCTTAAATAAGTACATACTTTTTATTTTTTAACTTTTGAACAGATTTAAATAAAGAATATTTTTCTAGAAATTTTAATATGCATAACACTAATATCTGATTTAATGTTTATGAGTTATAACAGTTTAAAGTTTAAACCAGAGGAATAGGAAAGGGTAATAAATTTCCTACTTATTTAAGGTATATGGAGTAGGGGTAAAAAATTAAAAATGGTTTTGAAATAAAGCTTAACCGATTCTATAATGATTAGAAAAACAGAATTAACTTAAAAAAGTCTGAGATAATTGCTGATTTGTGATAAAAAAAATCACCCTGTTATAAAAATTAAGTGTACCACGGGTGTGCATGCATTGCACTCTAAAATTACACAACCAATTTTAATAAGATTATACTCATATATGTAATTTGAACCAACATAAAATATAGTCGTTTTCATCACGATTAAGCACGATTAACTCCTTCACCCTTAAAATACGGTTTTAAGGTATTTTTAGTACAAAATCAAATTTTTTTTGTTGATGTACCTAAATGTTACCTTGGTAACAAAGATGAACAAAATTAACTGTTATGATATATAAAAATACTGACATTTTTTGCACTTAGGCGGGTCACTGTTGTAGCTAAGAAGTTGGGAAAGTAGAGGAGAAATTAAATACATATATATATATATGTACCCAACAATTTACCATGGCTAAAGTAATCAAATAGCATCCAAATACACTCAAGTAACACTCCAGTCAGATTACCTTTCAGAAAAATTATTATCATTCTAAAACTGAGAAAAATTTCTGATAGAGAAGTTATCCACAGAAATTTTTTAGAAAATCTATAATAATGTTTAATTTTTTATTTCTGTAGACAGCTTTTTAATAAATGAGAAAAACTTTGAAAAAACTTAGGAAAAACAGGAAAATGTATTATTTTCAAATCGTAAATATTACAACTTTTTAAAACATGTATAACTGAATTCCATTCAGAATCATTTTTCGTTAGCAAAGATTAATTGTTGTGTACAGATATACATTAAATTCCTCTCTATTTTCTACCTACCCAACTTTTCAACTACAACAGTGAACTACCAATCATACAAAGTATGTCCATCTATTCGTATAGATCAAGTTATTAATTTTATATTAATATAAATTATCGGCAAATACACATATAAGGTATAAAAGGTAGGCTGTGCCACCTGCGAGTGGCAACTATAATATGGTACATGCGCTCTCCTACTGTCAGACTTCCCTATTTTATAATAAGTTAGACTTCTCTTCCTTTGAAATCCAACCTCACCCTCTTCAAAAAAAATTGTGTTGAGATATTTTTGATATGAAAATTATAAAAAAATTTCATAATAGTACACTTTTAGTTCGCCGATGGTAGACTACCCACTTTCCACCTATTTGTTTTCATTAAATTCTGACAATCAAAACCGAAAATAAATATGGAAGAAAAATAAAAATAAAAATTGGCATGTGCAAAAATAACAAGTACAGTAAAAAATACCGCTTCATTAAATTTAAGTAGGTACCTACAATATATTCTCATAACTTTATTTACCAAAATCAGAGCCACAGCAACACATGGCAGGGATAACTAGTATATTAATATAATAACTGGGGAGTAAATTTGTTTATTTTTAAACTAATCTTTTAGATTTAGAATGTAGCGAAGGATCTATTGGTTTCACTATGATTGGTTGTTTTTTGTAATTTTTTTAATGTTTTGTGTCTGTGAACCACTTTTCAAATAAATAACTTGCTTGGATGTATCAAGTGTAGCACATTTTCTAAAAAAAAATTTTATATAATTTGTTTAATAAGATAATATTTTGATTTTTAAAGAGATTTTTATAATAATGGGGGAAAATGGCAAATATTTACAGCTTATTCCATTATTACCAATTTTGTTGTTTTTTTTTAATTTTTGAAGAAATGAAAATTGCTTTAATAAAAAAAAAAAAAACGAAGAGCTCATTTTTGTTACATTTTGGATCACAAATTAAGTCATTTTTTGATTTTCCCAGCAGTTTTCATAATAACTAGGAAAAGACAATAAAAATAAAACAAACAAAATTATTTTAATGGTCAACACTCGTAAATAAATATATAAATGAATAAATGCGTCGCCTGGAGTAATATGATAAATGTATTATAAACCAAGAATACTCCAGACGCGATTATTCATTTTTGTTATTTTTGTATGTACATTTTTTATTATTTAATTTTTATATATTTAATTTCATTATTTTAAAATTGTACAAATTATTTTTTCTACCAAAAATCTTGATTCCATTAAAAAATCACAAGATACCTTTTTTGTTGAACTTTGAATCTAGTTGGTGAGTGAAACATTTGTTATTAAAAAAATTACTAAGAAAATCAAATAACTGAACAAAACCAAAGAAAAATGTAGAAAGAAAATGAAAGTTTATGGAAATAATGGTTTTATTTTTTTTTTTTAATTATGTATTTTATTGTAATTCAGTTAAAATGTTTCTGGAGAATTGAAATTTTGACAATTTTTTTCTAAATGTGGTATAATTTTCAAAATATTTTGGAGATTTTTGCATTATTTATAAGAATTATATGTTTACATATTTTTAAGTGAATATAATTGTTTAACCAAATAGAAATGCATACAAATTTAAATTTTAGCAGTAGTTTCATTTTTAGTTTTCAAAAAAAAGTGTGTAATGTGTTTTTATTTATAATTGTTCCAAGAATCACATTTTAAAAAAAATTGTAAAGTATAACCTTACAAATTATGTGTAAACGAATGTTTATTCAGAATCGTTTTTCATTAGAAATAGTCTATTGTTCTTTATAGATTCAAATTAAATAGGTTAATCCTACCTTCCCGACTTCCCACCAACAATAGTGACGCATCAGCAGTATCAGAGCTCTTTTTTTCAATTATTATTAATACTATAGTGAACTGAAATCTAATTTGACAGCTAACATTTTGTGAAAAAAATATAAGCACAACACAAAATATGATTTGAATGATCAAAAGCCCCTAGGAAAATACAACTATTTATAATTGATACGCATATTGCTGCTATAAAATATCACAAAAAAAAAAAAACATTTTAATTGTATTTTTTTCATAGTTAAACTTTTTTCTAACTTAGTTTACTACTTTTAAGATATAAAACTACAAAATTAAAAATAACTGTTTAGAAAATTAATTTAAGTTCAAAAACCAAATAATATAGGAAATTGTTTAAAGGGTATTATATTACTATTATATATTTTCTGTCTCAAATTATATTCATTAGAAATTAAATTTAAAAACTAAGTATTAGCACTTTTTACAATGCTCAATATAAAAAATGTTTTTTTTATATTTTATATGAGAAATTTGATTTGAAAATTAGAAAAGTATTTAACTGTTGGATTTAAAAAAATTTAATTTTCTATAGAATTTTAATTTTATTAAAATGTAGTTTTTTATTTTTGGTAAAAATTTAAAAACCTTATGTTAACCATAAAATACATTTTGCATAAGTGTTACGAGGTGACGGTTAAAGTTATGAGAATTAATATAAAGTAGAAGACACCAAAAATTCACCTTTCGTGATTCATATACCCAATGTGAAACACCATCATCATCAACATAATTCCACCATCTCAGACCGACCATAATACGACCTATAAAAATTAGAATAATTAATGAGGCATTGTTAAAAATAATAACATATATATATATATATATATAATAATAGGTATATTTGACGCTTATAAAATATAATAAAAACTAACCTGTTATATTTTTTACAGTCCAAAAGTCCATTGATAGTAACAAAATTATGAGAACAAATAATGTGATGAAGCTTTGAGTAAATATTCCACCAAAAAAATAGATTACGAGAGCAGACACTCTGAAGAATAAGTGAAAAAAAGTGACGTATGGGTGCCTGAAATTAAATATACATAAGTAATTAATTAACAAATCATGGAAAAAATAAAATGTTAATTTTATCAAAATATTCTAACAATTTAGTTAATCATTTATAGATAAATAAAAAGAAAAACAAACAGACGTATTTTGCAAAATGGGTGGGCCACTATTGTAGGTGAAAAGTTATGAGGTAGAGGGGAAATTTAATGTATATCTGTTCACAAAAACGTATTATTGCTAATGAAAATCAATTATGAGCGGAGTTTGGTTATAAATGTTTTGAGAGGCCGTAATATTTACGATTTCAAAAATTTTCCCGTTTTTCCTATTTATTACAAAAATCCTTGGAAAATCAAAAATGACCTCCCTAAAGTATCCATCCCAGTTAAATTTTCTTTTAGAAAAAGTGTTACACTTGAAAATTGGAGCAAAACTTCTTGCTGTTCACAGAAAAAATAAACATCATTGTAAAACCAATACAAAAAAATCTAAAAATCGAATAGTTGTTTTAAATTATAGTTTCAGTAAAAAACATAATTAAAGTTAGTTCCTAATATAATATTCATGATTGTACACAATATTCACCAATCTATTATTTATGCAGAATAGTTCAAAATATTTGTATTTAATACCAACACTGTTTCTTCTTTTAAACTTTCACAATTCTTATAGGAAACTTTCTGACTCAATTTCACTCCTCTATCTATTTCTGTCTACATTATTATCTATTGCTACTACCCTGACACACCTGATGAAGTCATCATTCACTCAGTCCAAGGCGACAACTTTTTAAGAAAAGTCCAAGAGACTAAGATATTTTACCTCTGTTTGTAACAGGAATTATCAATTTGAATAAAATTAAGTGCATGTTATTATATTAGTTTAAACTAGCCTTAAGATATTTAAACATTTTTACTTGATGAAAACTATAATTTCCTACACCGATTCCAAGTTAATAATTTTTAGAACACAATAAGTAACAATACAATATATCTAGATAGTGTATACTTAATATTATTATGACAATTTAAGCAAGTATATTAGTGTACAATTGAGCTTGAATGAATTTTACAATGTGACTTGCCAGACATTGTTTTAGCAACAAATGTACAGGTTGCTTAACTAAAATCAGTATGTAACACGTTTAAAATCACTACACATTATTTCAACAATTTTATTTAATATTCCTAATCTTAATTATAATTTAACTGATAAAAAAATCTGGAACGATTCTGGTTTAGCAACCTGATGACAAAATGAGTACCTAAATGTATTTGTAGCTTAAGTATATTTACCATTATATTAATCATTGTAAACAGGTATTTACCTATTCGAAAGATTTGACTTACGGTAATTTTCCAGGATTCTGTGAAATCTCCTCTCCGAAAGGGATAGTATCATCAATTAGCGGATGTGGATCCTGGCAAAAAAAATAAATACAAAAATGTACATTTCTAACAGTATTTTAATTTTATAAAAAAGTTTACCATTTATCAGGACGTTATATAAGAATGGAGGCAGTATATTTTGTTATTATCAGAGATTGTTTAAAAACAATTGCGTTCAGTAGGTAACTACATAGTATTCAAACGATAATATTTTTGTTTAAAATAATTAAGCGTCGACCCTTCGAAAGAGAATTCGACAAGTTTTGGGTGTATCGTGTTCGCGTATGCGAATTGCAGTCGTCATTTCCACTTTTCACCACGAAACGGTGTAGTTGTTCGTTGTTGTAGCTTGTAAGTTATTTTGTGATAACGGAAATATGATAACGGTCGAACGTCGACGTCATACTCGTTGTGTCTACGGTTGTCTGACAACCGTGATCATCATAATCCAATGATTACGATCATAGACCTTATGTTACCGACTGGCCGAATCCACGACGAAAAGCCTTTCAACAAATAACCACCCGACATAAAGTCACGCGATCGGAATCCGATGAAATGCCACCCGACAAAAAACCGCTACACAATCGTAGATATTAAAGACACGGATGAGCCAACATATTGTATTCACGATTGCTTGAATATGGCGGTGTATCATGGTGTATTGTTTATGGGGTACGTTCGTGTAGCTCGCTCAAACGCTTAACAGCGCCACCGCACCGTTCGGTTTGGCACTTGATAGCGCTCAGGCTACAACTTTGCCGTCACTGAATCTGAGCGTTACGTCATCGATCCGCACTCACAAACGCTTATCCCACCGGGGTTGGGCAGCAAACGCTCACCAGCTAATCAAATGATAATAGATACACCGAAATAAGTGATAACTCTCTGACTATATTTTCGCCTAATAATAAATTTGTTATTATTCGTAGAACACGACCACGCCGTTTAGACCACGATTTATATAAATGTATAGAAATAAAAATGTTTGAAACGCATAACACTTTAACAATTTTTCAAATAACATCGTTAGTCGATACAATAATTATAGTACCTAATGAAAACAATTAACAGCTGATAACTGCGATGATCGTACAATCTATATGCTTATATTTGCGTTCGTCTTGAGATCCACCTAGCAGTGTTATTTACCAAAATGTCTAAACGAACCGTTCATAAGCACCGTATAAGCATGCTACACGAACGCACCCATATAAATCATTTGTTTAGACGTATAGGTGAATCTCATGACGAACGCAAATTTAATCATATTGATAATATGATCATCGGAGTTATCAGCTGTTAGTTGTTATCGCTAACACTAGGCACCATCGTTGATTATAGAATACACAGATAGCCCATGCAATTTTAATATTCGGCGACTATAAAAAGGATGTCACCGCTATGAAGCGCTAGTGTAGTTTAGGATGCGAGGAGGTAGTACGTCCGCCATATTTGTTGTTGACGGGTGGGTGTTGGGATGCGAGCAGGGGGTACTTCCATCATAGAATGAGAAGCGGTGCGGTGCGTGTATTTTTATAATCAATAGTACTTTATTGTAACAACCACTTTTTAAGATTTACCGAACAGGAAGGCCTTAATAATATTTTTCTGAGTCCGCCCGGTTCTCACTGTTTGGCTAGACAGCTAACGCTTTAAGACAAAATTGACATAAAAATCTACTAAAATCAGTTTAAAGTTAAAAATGGAGGAATAGGGTGTGTAATAATTTGCATATTATCTATTCTATCGCGGCCTAGACTATTCTATAATAATATTAACATAGTTTGTAGAAAGTACACTAGATGGTGTTAATGGCCTCGCCATTGTTATTCGCCGATATTATTTTAAACATTTTCCAAATGTTATTTACTTCAAACATTTTAAATTCTGAGTGGAGCGAAGAAGTTTATGGTTTTACAAAGATGTTTATTATTATTATTATTATTTTTTTTTATCTGTGCGCAACTTTTTCAACAAAAGACTTGCTCAGATTTCTAAGTGTAACGCCTTTTCTGAAAGGAAATCGGTGTGGGGAGTTACTTAGAGAAGGTAATTTTTCTCAAAGTACCTCCCCACACCATTTTCTCAAGAGTTTTCTCATAAAATTTGAAAAACCTTTGATTAGCTTGTAAGCGTTTGCTGTCCTACCTCCGATGGGATAATCGTTTGTTTTATGATCGTGGATCAATGGCGTAGCGCTGGCGCTGATAAGCGAACTACACGAACGCACCCCTATGACGCCCTACCAACCCCCCTAATGTTTTTTTTTTATAGTATAGAAGTTACAATGGTTATCACTATGGATCATAGATTCACAGCAGATAATAAATATATGTTCTTAAAATTACTTAAAAAACAGTTTTTTTTTTTTATGAAGTTTTTATATAATTTAAATATTTTCGATTCGTACAACCTATTGTATTGAATTAAATTTGAATATTTTGTTAGTATTTGATCTAATGGGTTAGTGCTTAACCGATTCCTCTTATGGTTGATTATTTGTATATATACCATTTTACCATTCAAATTCAATTTTATACTTACCCTATAGGTACACATAACATTCATAATAAATGTTAACATTGACACATTTTAAACTATTCTGTTTAAATACCTGAGTATACTATTTATTTCTTCTTCTTCTAACGGCTTAACGGTCTATTCAGGACCTGTGCTGTTACTCTAGTAAGCCTCTCTATTTCTCTCTATCCCCCTTCCCCCGTTAATTCGCCACTGTATGTATAGGTGTACGTATAAAAATATACAAATTTACGTGTGTACGATGGAGATGGATACATATTATAATATATCTTTGGGTGTAAGACTTGATCGTCATCATGATTACATCCTACTGATGATGGCTGATCAAATCGATTTAATTAGTCGATCTAATTCATTTGTTAAAATTAGACGTGAATAGGGTAAATTTTCGTTTTCGCGCCAATCAAACGCCGTTTTCAAAAACTCTCGGATACATTTCGTAATTCAAAAGACGTACGATTCACAAACAAATAGAAACTGACGGACGCCCAACGATTCCCCCGTTCTTCGGCAATCGTATGACGGTGCGGTAATTAATGACCCGCAACGCAGCACGGACATACCTACTCGCCATTAGAATAATTGCGTCACGGCTAAATTGCCGGACAAACTCAACAAAGTTATTTGCCCGCGGAGTACGTTACGTCTACGTTTTTGCAACGTCTCGTGCCGCCGTCCGCGCGGCGCACGCTGTTACGCTCCCGAAATCGCGTTCGCAGCTGCAACTTGCCGAAAACGTACGGTATTCGGTGCAAAGAGGTTTGTTAGCCGGCCGTCAAGGAGTATAAGGAAATAACAAATACGAAAATATAAAAGTTTAGACTCGTACTTAGGACTATGGCTACAATCGTTGACATACTAATGCGTCTATGGTTCCGACGGTATATCAGAGTCGTGCGCCGTAAAAAAAAAGCGACGTAAAAACCGTTAACAGGCGAAATGCGGCCGCCATGTTGTGCATAAAAGTGTTGCCGACTGCTAATTACATTGTCACGATCCTGCGGTTCGTACGTTAACGTTCATTTGTTTAAATTCACGTTTTTTTCTCCTGTCGCGGTTCGAGTTTTTTTCGTGTTTTTTTTTTTTTTTTTTCTACACGTCGGAAATTTGTCGTAAGTGTCGAACTAATAAAACCGAATACTAACGACAAACCGTGTCACGATTCACGATACACTTTCGAGTTCGGCGAACTTCCGAACAGCCGCAGCTGGGGGCACCGGAATAGCCGAAACCTCGTTTTACTGTATTAATCTAGCTGCCGTAAACGCAGATCATTGTTTTTATGTATAATATTTTTAACGAATTCAAATTAGCCGTCCAGGTACGTGGTTTTATAATTCCTCTCATCTTTATTCATTTTCTTGGTGTTATAATATTTTACAAATTTGTCAAACCACGTGTCTGACTCTCGACGATTTCGCGAAAACACTACCGCTCGATTAGTGTATAATAAATTCTGGTTTAGCTCCCACGCGAGTTTTCTGTTTTTTTTTTTTTTTTTATTCAAAATGTGCGTTTTTGTGTCTACATTAAGTATGTAGAAAAAAAAGTCTGACGAATTTCGTTTGGACGTTTTGGGGGAAAACTTTATGAAGTTCGGGTTTTCCGCTTCGCGTATTTCTCATTTAGAATTTAACATCTTCAAATATTTTTCTTCCAAAATGTGTGTTTTTAAATGCTCAATCCATTGATATAATCGAAACTTGCCTATCATACTTTGGTATTTTGTATATTGACCTTGAATGAACGATTCTAGTTAGTAGTTAGGCGCCCATGCGATATTTCGGATTTATATTTTTTTATCAAAATGTGTATATAATTGCGTGTATCTACATTACGAATTAAAAAACAAAAAGTTGGACGAACTTCGTTCGGAAGTTATTGAGGGAAAACTTTTGGATTTCAAAAGAAGTAAAGACTAACCTAACCTACGTGAGAGTGAATATGGCTCGACAGTGTATGTCCGCGTGTACCTACCGTATTATACTCGTCGCTCGCGGAGGGCACGACGTTCCTTTTATACCTTTAACGTGCGTATTTGCCGACAATTTATATTTTAATAATAGGTAACATAAAATCAATAACTCGATGGTTGATCCATATATATATATATATATTAAATAAATCAATATTTTGTTGTTGACGCCATAACTTGAATACCATACAAATTTCCAACTTTTCGGCAGTTAAGTACTCTAAACATTCTCGTTTATATACACCTTTGTTTTTATCTATTATCGATTAGCTTTTATGGAAACACGTGACAGCAGAACCGAGTATCAAATATTATCGAGTTATTTTTGTTGATTTACGGGTTATCTTGGTGTGTTGTGATTTTTATACAAAAGTACCATTCAAATTTTCGACTTTCTGCCAGACTTTCGAAAAGTTTTCTTTAAAAACCATATGAACATAACAAATTAAAATCAGCCTAATCTATTCATCCGTTTTCAAGCTATGGCGTCACCTACAAAATATCAATTCATTTTTATGTATATAGATTTATCGGAAAAAGAATACTAAGCTCTGTTGACAGTCGGGTATCTAATCTATAAGTTTATACATTAGTGTAATTGAGTTTACGTTAATCTTACAATCTAAAATTGTTTGCAATACAATGGTCTACTACTACGACGTTCTCTAGACGGTAACTAGTTATTTCCGAGGGTATTTTTTTGTTTTAGGTACACGAGTTGGTGTTAATCAGTGCAACTAACCATTACACAAAATTAGTTTTGAATATGTATCTTATAATAAATCACTGAATACTAAACAAATTAGCAGTGAATGATATATCCAAGAAGAATGTGCAGTGTATGCTTTATAGTTACTGCCTTTAGACTATATGTTTTACGGGTAAATTAATTAGGGGATATACACATAGTGATATTAGGAAAAAAAAGTCGCACGGAAATAAAATCCAAGGAAAAAGAGTCACTAAAATATTAAAAAAAAACTAGCTGTCCGGGCCGTACGTTGCCGCAACTCTAATTTTCATAAATAAAGATTTTTTTTTAAATATTATATTGTTGGTACCTACTACATGAGTTTAATGAAACTGTAGGTTCTTGTTATTGATTTACAAAATGGCGTTTGCTTATCTCATCTGTAGTAGATAACTATTGATAAACAATTTAAGGTTTATATGTAGTTTAATGTAGGTGCCTACCAATTACATATGTATCCAGTTTGTGTTTCAAATTGTATGAGTTTCCTAGTGAACCATGGGACTTCTTAAATCCAATAAGGTAAATGACGATATTGCATTACATGGGTATACTTATACCTACTATATTCAAGAAACGTCAAAATACCATCTGATGTAAATGTTCAAAAAAATCATCTATCAAAAGTGCAGCAATATTAATCACAGAATTGAATTATAACAAAATTTTATGATTTGAAAATAAACATTGTCATACTGCTAATCAAAGTTTAATTGGCGCCATGAAAATCAAACAAAGTATGAAGTAATGTTCATTTCAAACTTGTAACAATACAGGACAAATTTTTGCTCAAGCTGTGCAAAATGTACCAAAAGAAATATTAGTTAAATGGATTACCATCCAAAGACTCGATAAAAAGAAGTATTTATAAACAAAGATGCAGTTTAAGCCAGACAAAACCAAACGTCTACAAGAACTAATAATTTAAGGTATTTATCTATATTATTTTAATCAATAATAATATAGCGGCTTAACAACCATTATATTTCTATAATTTTGAGAAAATTAAGAATTGTTTATCTATTTTGGTTTTAAAATTGTTGTTTTATAATAAAAATTTAATATTATAAAATTTAATTAATGACTTGGAAAAATTATCAAAGTCATCCCATTCTATAGTTATATATCTGGTATATATATATATATATATAGTGCAGTGGTTTTCAACCTTTTTGGACTCGCGACCCATTTTTTTAGGCGTACATTATTCGCGACCCACATAAGGTTTTACGTTAAAAAACAAAAACAAATCTAAAATTACTTAATGACTTAATACTTTGTGTAGTACTATTATAACTGAATAAATAAAAATAAAAAACTTAACGGATATGTAAATATAACTAAAATAATAACGCGACTAACATTTATTCGTCTTTTAACACAGCAACAACATCGACAATGTTCATAGATTATGGGACTCTTTAACGATAATAATATAATATATTTATTTTATTACTAGCCTGGTTTACTCGTAAATTATTATATTTAATGTCATACTATGTAGAATCATACCAGTATATGAAACATATACTGTGATTTGAAATCCATTATACTATTTTATTTTTGAATATAAATTATAAAATATTGTTTATATATAACATATTACAATAATTTTCAAACTGTATTTTAACATATTAATTTTCTAAGTTTAATTATTAAACAATTATTTGTATACCTTATATAATTGTATAAACTTAATTTTTATTTTAATAAAAAAAAATTTTTTTAAGCTTACACGGCCCACCGGTTGAAGATGTAGTGTGTCCCACTATGTTCAACGGATTTTTCTAAAGCGGTTAATATTCAATTTTTTTCAATTTTATTTTTTAAATCGGTTTGTCTTTGAGGGGGACTTCAATTTAAAAAAAGAATTAACATTTTTATTTTCATCCCTTAATTAAATATTAAAAAAAAAAAAATCATTTTATTTATTCACTTAAAAATAGCCATTTCATAAAAGATATTATTCTAAAAATTGTAATGTATCACACATTCATATCTTAGCAATAGCTGTTTTAATTTCTAGAAAATAAGTATGAAAACAATTAATATTCAATAATAATCATAATCACTGCACGGTAATTCCTTATCGCAATAGTAGTTTATTGAATATTAATTGTTTTCATACTTATTTTCTAGAAATTAAAACAGCTATTGCTAAGATATGAATGTGTGATACATTACAATTTTTAGAATAATATTTTTATTAAATGGCTATTTTAAAAAATTTGTAAAGTGAATAAATAAAGTTGATTTTTTTTTATATTTTGGGGATGGGAATAAAAATTAAATTTTTTCTAAATCCCTGAAGAAATTAAATTAAAAAAAAAAATTGAAAAATATTTAATATTAACGACTCCAAAAAAAATCCATTGAACATGGTGGGACACACTGTATATTTTTACTAGGTATGTTTGAGGTGATTGGACACATTGTGGTGATAAACATTTTTTTATTATAAGATAATGGGTCCTGATTCAAATGAACATATAATAATGTTTGCATTAAATAGTGGATTAGAACAATTAACAAATTATCATACTTAGTTTATTGATGGTAACTTTGGCTCAGCGTCCTATCTATTTTCTACTGCTATATGTGATTCGAGTACAAATAAATAATATATTTATCACCCCAGTGTTTTGTTTACATTATAATTTGTGGAAGTTTTCATCATTTATCATAAAGCACCTACAGAGAAATATAAAACCTGGACCTATGTAAATGATATAAAAGACGACAAAAACTAAAATATATATTGTTCAATAATTGGCTTTTCTCCCTGTTGATAAAGTTTTAAAACAAACTTACCTAATAGGAGAAGAAGATCTAATACAATATTTTGACGAAAATTATGTTAGAAATACATTTGAAAAAGTTAAAAAACAAGAAAACAATTTAATTTAAAAAAAAATACTACATGGAATGTTGATTTAACAACTTTAGTAGCAAATCCACATAGACACACAAACATCCCAGTATTTGGAAATCGCTAACAAAAATGGGTTTAGCAGTCGGAACAGAGAAGGCAAGAATGGCATTGGCTGAAGTAGAAGTTGATAGGAAGAAAACAAAAGCTGGCAAAAAAATGCAAAAAAATATTGAATGAATATTTTACGTGAACGTTTTGCTGTAAGCAATTGAAGAGGTCCATGCAATATAATGAGACAACTCCATTTTTTTTTTTCAAAAATAGGATTTTGGTGGATTAAAATTAAGAAAAACATTACAAATATACATGTTTAAAATTGAAGTAAATCCAACCATCTGTATAGGAGATATGATGAAAAAGGAGTTGTTTAGTATTTTTTTTCCCCTGTTTTTAGTATTAAAAGAATTAATACAAAAATTGTGAATATAAATTTCTGGTCAAAAAACTGGATAACTAATAAACAATTTAGATTAATATTAACTCTCATCTTAATGCAATTATGAAAATCAAATCAAGTACTATGAAATATTTTTTATTATTGTTTAATGTATCACAATTGACTTTAAAACTAATTTTAATGTAAATACAATATTTTTAAATCCTTTTTTTTTTTTGTTTCCTGAAAAGTTATGATAAGTGGAGTTGTCTCGTTATTATTAATTAATTATTAATTATTATTCATTATTCAGATATTCCTAATTCCTTAAAAAAAATGGGCCAGAATATAAAAAAGATATTTAGGTTAATAATTAATAATTTATACAAATACATACATATTATTTTAATATACATTTATGATGAATACATTTTTTTTTTCCGTGACTTCAATAATTTTTTTCTGTGTGACTTTTTTATCCTGGACTTTTTATCTAAAACTTATTTCCATTTACCATACATAAGGTAACTGCACCAATGAATGAACACACAAGCACTATTTGATTTTTAAATAAAGATATGATAGTCATTTTTGGTATTTCGGATTATTTGAAATTTATTTTGCATTAATTGAATAATTCTATTTAACAATATTATTATTTTTATTATGAATTAGTTACGAATGAATTATTATGAACTAATAAATTAAAAAAAAAAAAAAAAACATTTCTTAGGAAATTAATTTTTTTTTTCGTGTTCTACTGAATCAAATATAATACTATTATTTTGCATATTTCGGTATATTTTCGAATTTTTTTTAAAAACAATTTAAATTAATAACAACATATAAAGCAAATACAAATTAAAAGAATCATTGTATATATCACATTGTAACGCATTTATTGTAAATTAATATGTTATAGGACCTATTAAAAAAATACATGCAAATAACTACTAAAAAAACTACTAATAAAAATTAAATACTAATAAGTATTTAACCATAATTAATGTAGAATAATTTGTTTTGTACATGTTTTGGTGTTTTTTGAACTAAATTATGACTTCAAAAAAAAAAATTAAAGTTCTATGACCTATATTATGTTATTGGTCTAACTGGCAGGTGTGATTTTATGATACATTTATTTATAGTTTTTGTTTGGTGATCAGATTTTATAATGTTGAAGAAATAATCTTGTGTAAAATTTTATTTTTCATAAAATTAGTAGAAATAGGTTAAAAAGTCATCTAAAAATTTAAATATAGCCAGAAACAAATTTAAATATTTGACTTACTTTTTTCTCAAATAAATGATAAAAATTTCAAGTCAATCATACTGAAGGGATAGTCAAGAGATATTTGTAAGTGACCAAGAATGGGTGCTTTTTATTGTAAAGCATCATGATATTCATAAATACTTGTATTCAATGTTGATAAAAATTCAGCATGGACTAATTTTATTCTAGGGGAGAAATATTTTACACACTAGAGTTTTAGACGCAAAAGAAAAAAATTGGAGGTTATGGGCTAAAAAAATTAAAGTTCAAAAAGGGATACGCTATTGTAGATACAAATGAGAGAATAAAATGAGCTTGTATAATATTTGTTATAAATTATTATTATTATTATTTTTTAGTTGTATTCAAACCACCCTGAAAATGTCTGATCAGATATGGTCTTGTACGCCAGGTACTTTGGTTTGGTTTAAAGTACACAATCGTATATGGTGGCCTGCGAAAGTTGTTGATCCTGCTACTGCACCCGATGAACTACAGTACTATATGAATCGTAAGAAGCATCCTATTGCCATGGTATACTTCGAAAGTGATAATAAATAGTAAGTTAAAATTATAAGAAAATTGTATTTATAAAATTTTAATTTCTGAGTGGAGCGAAGAAGCTTATGGTTTACAAAGATGTTTATTTTTTATTTCTGTGAACAATTTTTTATCAGTAATTTTACTCCAATGTATAATGATAGCAGTGCTTCTGAAAGGAAATTTGTCTGGGGAGATACTTAAGGGAGGTCATTTTTCCCTTTTTCTCTGGAGTTTTCCCAGCAAATGTGAAAAACCAGGAAAAAACATGATTATTCAATTTTTGAGTGTTTGTATATAAAATTTTGTGGAAGAAAATGTTTTTGACAGATACGATGCTTCCAATTCAGGTGGGAGACAAGGTACATGTCTAAGTATTTAGCTAAATCTTCTTATGGGATTATTGTGATCCAGTAAAACTTGGATATTTTCAGTTTTGCGCAAAGTTCACTTGAAGATGTTGTTGATTGAGGTCTGTAAATTATCAGTCCCAACCTTCTGATTCTTATTGGTTGTTAAAATTGCTGTATCGTCAGTAATCATAGCTGTCATTGAGTTGTTTTTGTTAGGAATAATGGCTGTATAGTGCAGATAAATTATAGGTCTTAAAACGCTACTATGTGGTTTTCTAGCCAATATATTATATTACTCAAATTTGCTTATTCATACATGACCCGTAACTACTATACAGTCAAGTAAGATTCAAGAAGTGCGCACCAGGTGTGTGGCAATTGTTCTCGTAGATTCATGACTAGTCTTTTATGCCAAACTTTAACAAAAGCTCATAAAGTCCCAGGATTCAAACTTCCACGTACAATGTGAACTACTTTTAACCAAATTAAAACAGAACAAGGAAAATTTCTTTTTCTTTTATATAAATGGAAAATGTTAGGTACACTATTCTGTGAGTGTGTGGGCAGGTTCAAAATATCAAACACATTCTCCGTGACAAAATATGAAGAATGAATAGTGTGGCACAAGAGTATTTAACGTTTTATTTATTTTATTGTTACTATTTTTATTATTCTTAATGTTCAATGTTTCCACAGTCATTCATGTACTCATTTATTTATATATTTATTTTGTAGTTTATAATTTTGTATAATTTATATTATATGTAATGCTGTAGTGGAGGGTATACACTGTATTTCTTCTGAATATTTCTAATAAAAAACTATAGGGTACCTGAATATAGGCCGTATATTTTCTTTTAAATTGAATTCATGAAATACAATATAAAATAATATACTTATAATTATTACTATCATTTTTATTTGAATACAAAAACTAGGACTAACAATGTAAGTGTATGTATACACATATTAATACATAATAGCTAGGTATGTATTATGTGTTATTAATAATTATAATAACTTATTGTATACCCTAATTATAGTATACCCTCTGTGTGTTTTATGATTAAAACACTAATTTTATGTCTATTTCAGTTATTAGTTAGTTAAATGAGTAGTAAGTTTTTAAGAAGTTTATGTATGTTTTTCACCAAAAATGCCATATGTAATATATATATATATATATATGAAAAAAAAACATCTATTTATATAAGTAATTATATTTTATTGTTTTATTAGTGATATTGTCATTAACATGGCCAAAGTGGCCTTATATTCATGTTCAAAAAAAATGGAGTTTGTGGAAAAAGGTTACTGTAAGTATTCTGATTTCAATAATGTACTAGTATTGCTATTAATTTAAATTAATTTTATTTATTACAGCTTTGTATATAAGACAAAAAAATGGTGCCAAGTTTCAGAGTTTAAATATGTTACACTTTGTAGAAGATGTTTTGAAATTTGAAGAAAAAATAAATGGTAATATTAATATTTTTGAAATTTTCGAAAAAAAAAAAGATCATGCAACAATACCTTATAAAGAACTTATCAAAGAACTTTTTGTTTCATCAAAACAAATTAAAAAAAAGGAAATCAAAAGAAAATCTACAGCAAGTTCAAATAATGTTGATTCTTTCATTTCAAAAAATTCTAATCTTAAAAAAAATGTATCTTCAACACAAATCAGTAGTGGTAGTTCTGATCCCAAATTAACTTGTCATTTAAAACCTGAATGTAATTTTACAACAAATCGTTATGAGGCCCTTAAACGTCATATGGCTTTATGTAAGACTACTGTGGAAGATAAAACAAAAAAAAATGAATTTAATATTTATACACCGAATAAGCGAAAGAATAAAACAAAACAAGATAACGCAAAAAAATCTAAAATATATCATGAACTATTGCAAGCAAGGGATGATGGAGAGAATCAAGATGACATTAAATCTCTAAATCAAAATGTAAAACCAGGATGTTCAACCAGTTTTATAGAAAATAAGACTCTCATGGGTTTAAATAAGGTTTTTGATCTCACTAAAATTAATAAAAATGATGATAACGTTATTGAAAACATTGATATTCAAAGAGAGAATCTAGGTCACATTGAATCTCCAAATCATAATACAGAATCAGGATGTTCAACCAGTGTTATGGAAAATAAGAATGAAAAGAATTTAAATANAATATTGAACTATTTAAAAATGCAGGAACTATTGAAAATGTTAATATTCAAAGAAAATATTTGAATTATAGTAGTAGTTCAAGTGATTCAAGTGATTCAAGTGATATTCAAAGAGAGAATCTAGATCACATTGAATCTTCAAATCATAATACAGAACCAGGATGTTCAACCAGTGTTATGGAGAATAAGAATGAAAATAATTTAAATAAGGTTTTTGATTTTGATGAAATTAAAAAAAGCGATGAGAATGCTTCTAAAAATATTGAACTATTTAAAAATGCAGGAACTATTGAAAATGTTAATATTCAAAGAAAATATTTGAATTATAATAGTAGTTCAAGTGATTCAAGTGATTCAAGTGATTCAAGTGATTCAAGTGATATTCAAAGAGAGAATCTAGGTCACATTGAATCTCCAAATTATAATACAGAACCAGGATGTTCAACCAGTGTTGAGAATGAGAATGCTTCTAAAAATATTGAACTATTTAAAAATGCAGGAACCATTGAAAATGTTAATATTCAAAGAAAATATTTGAATTATAATAGTAGTTCAAGTGATTCAAGTGGTATTGAAGAGTTACTTAAAGATCTCAAACATATAGTTAAAGAAAGATTAAATCTCTGTCAGAGAAATATAAATTCTAAAACAAATGATAATACTGCTTCAAACTTGACCAAAAATGAAATAAATAATATCATTGGTATTGATAATAGTGATGGACAACTGAAAAATTCAAATTGTAGTACCGATTCTAAAAATGATTATCGTTTTGATTTAGTCTCTAGTTCAGGAACTGTACAACATATTAATAATGAACCTTCAGTTAAGAATTCATCGATAAATCAAAACTTTGTTCGAGACCGAACTGTTTTTCAAAATAGAGGTTACGATACAATAATTCAAAATGAATATTTGTTTAAAAAGGCTAGGAAAGAAGAACAAGCTGGAAAGTCATTTGTAAATGATATATTAAATGTCACTGGTAATAAAAATTTGTATCCCATTGATGAAATTGCATTAAAAAATGATAATGAGGTTGACGACAAAAAGGAACATTGTTACCTTAATCCATTGTCACCAGATGAATGGCTTAAGGAAACTACCGAATAATAATCATGCAGAATTTCTGATAGAAGGTAATAAATGTTATCACATTATACTTATATAAAATAATATAAATATATACATATTTAATATTGTTATAATATTTACTATTCATTCCCATGCATGCTGTGCTTTATATAAGGATTTTAAAAGATGCATAGGTCATTTTCCAAATTTTGGTGATATTATTTCAATCACAGAGGTATTAAAAAAAAAAAAAAAATGAATGCCTGAATAATGTTGAATTTTTTTTCATTTCCGAAAATGTTTGATGACCAAATATCGCCAAATTTAGAGAATGACCCACATGCTCTTAAAATCCATTTGGTAACCAGTACATGTTATGTTTTTGCAAGATCATTTTGTTACCAAACAACTTATTTAAATGTTAAAGTTATACTTTATTTTATTTGAATTTGGTTTTTATTTTAAATGTTCAATGTTAAAATATTATTTTATTTTCATTTAATTTTTCCTGGTAGAATGAGTTTTCAAACTTCTTTGATAGTATATTTGATGGAAGGGGTATGACATCAATTGGATGAGTTTCAAAAGAATATCATTTCTTGTCAACTATTACTATTTTACAGGTTTTATTGGTAGTAAAATTGTTTTCTGTTAATTTGTTATTAGTGACTTGCAACATATTTGTAGATTTTTATATTTTCTTTGAACTATTAGGAGTGCTGGGTAGAACTAGTTGCTTTGTGACTTGGTGAAAAATGACATAACAAAGCGCTTCTAACCTGTTATAGTGTAATATTATTATACTGATCGGGTTAAGTGATTCAATATTATATTTGACAAGTTCAATTTATGTTTTTCTTTCTTAAAAATTGTGATTATCTTATTTCAAGATATTATGCTTATTTTATAAATCATTAATAGCTATGGATTGGTTTTTAATATTGTAACAAAATTAATATTTTTTTAAATTATTATATTTTGCAGCTAGAAAACTTCCTATAATCCCAAGCAAATTATTTGACATTAATTTGTCACTCCGATGTTTTGATATTGATCAAGATATACCTATTCATTTTTGTCCTGAACTAATAGAAAATAAACCACTGCTGTTTTATATCAAGCGCGAGGTTATACAGGTGCCAACAGTAAAACCCATGTATACTGATGAAGAGTTAAGAAATTTACCTCAATTTAAAACCATGGCCACCGATATAGCTGATCAGAATGGGTCATCTGGAGTATTGGAGCTTATTAGATGTTGCAAAACTACCCAAGAGAAAAGAACCCAATACGAACCAATGAATGATAACATCGCAATTGATATAATTCAGCAATAATTATAAATATATTATATATATTAATTAAACATATACATTTAAGTATAACTGATTTTAAATTATTTTTAATTTTCCTATCAGTAAAATAATGATAATGATTAATTTACTTAACTTATAATTCAATTTATTATTATTTTGGTCATTTTAGAAGATATATAGAATAATTTTCTTTTTTACCATATCTCAAAAAAGAAAACAAGTTTTCTGTTAATATATTTTAAGTCTACACATATTTTTAACTGAATAACAATAAAAAACAATATTTAAAATAATGAACTCATTGTATATTTTCTTGTTTTTCCAGTTTTTTTAAAATTATTATGAAAATTACTTGGAAAATAAAAAAACTACTTACTTGCTCACCAACTTAGACCCAAAATTGCTACAAGAGATCATTTTTATTAAATTTGAATCAGAAACTTTGCTCTGATTTCAAAGTATACAATTTTTGAAAGAAAATCTGATTAGAGTGGTACTTTAGGAGAGTCTATTTTTGATTTTGACAACTGTTGGGAAAAATGGGAACACCTGAAAATTTACGAAATATATTATATTTTTAATTTTTTTTTTTCTTTTGAACAACTTATATTTGCATTTTCTAGATGTGATAAAATGTGCAAATTATTGTTGCCATTTTTGAGCTACTTATAGATATTTTAATTTCACAGGTTGTTGTGATTTTTATGTTATTTTTGTTTGCCAGGTACTTTTCTATGGATAAAATTGTCATTACAACTTGGTTACAAAAAAAAAAAAAAAATGAGTGTAATGTACAATATTTTATTTTTTATAAGAGTTTTAAAATTACGTTTTGACAAAAATCGTAAATATTAGTGCTTTTCAAAACATATATAACTGAACTTCGATCAGAATCATTTTGCGTTAGCAATGGTTTATCATTGGTTACAGGTATAAATTAAATAATTTATTCTATCTTTCCAACTATCTACTATCCTACAATGGTGGCCGCAACCATTACTAGCTTTTTATTATTATTATTATAGCTAAAAAAAAAAAAAAAAAAAAAAAGCTACATAATAAAAAGAAGATAACGGTAAGTTTACCATCCTATTATGCATTATAGGTGATTATTGTTAGAAGCTGATTATTTTGACATATCTGTATTAAGTTTATTGGCACAACCTCACATTCATGTTCTGTAAGTCATGATTAGTTTAATGTTGTTCAATGTTGTTGAAGACTGATTGGTTTTACTACTGAACTTTTAATAAGGTACCACTACTAGGGCACTCCATATTTAGGGAAGTAATGCTTATTTGCTATTTTAAAAAAAATAGGATGATTTATTTTAATTGTGTTATTAAATTATTGAACTGGCCATTAATTATTAGTTAATGGGTGAATTTTTCCACATAACATACAGCAATTTATTCAAACCCACAATTTAAAATATTTAAATCGAGACGGTTATTAGTGGGTAAATGCGTTTTATAATATTTGTTAATATCAATGTATGAATGTATTCAGTTCATGTTACATATATATATATATAATACTTCGACTATATTATTAATGTCAGAAATTATAAAACCAGTTATATATGGATCTTGATGTGGAAAGGTCATTTTCCATGTATAAAAATACATGAACACCCAATAGGATGAGTTTTAACGAAAGTAACTTGACCAAAATATATGGCCGTAAATTCTTTTTTTTTAATATTTAATTTAATGTGTAATTAAAATTTTTTTTTTTTTTTAGAATTTAATTCAATGAATACTTTTTTTGGCTTTATAAAATGTTTTTGTAAGGATTAACTTTGGTCAGTTCATTTACGGGCGGTATTTTAAAGTTTTTATGACGATATTCGTTGGTGATGAACCAATAAGCTACCGGTAATGAGTCCAAGACTAATGGTAATACGAAAAAAAATCGCTGCCAATAAATCCCCGAAACAACTATACTATCAATAATAATAATATTTAAATGAGTATACAGACACGCCTACTTCAATTTTATTTATACATGTAAATTATCGTCTAATAATTGTCATCCGTATGGTTTTTTAATCTATAGATTTCAAACGAAATGGCAAATATTCCGAAAGAATTATTTGTTGAATATATCCGTGCTATCTACTCACTTAATGGAAGCCCGCATAATTAATTTTAGTTGCCAAATATCTAAAATCAATTGTTTATAGAGCGACAAATTGTGGAATTGATGGAATACATTAGAAACAAATTATTAAGATATATTTCGTATTTACACGTTATTAGTTGTTAGTAAACACCGGATTTAATTGATATTGCAACTTTTTTTGCAATAAAAATAAATCAGATCTGATTAAATATATAGTCTATATGTACTAAAAATATTCTGCCTATTTAATTTTATAATGCAATTTTTATTCAATTTTCGACTTTTTTGCAATTTTCCCACGTCTTTAAATCAAATTTTATCGTTAGTATGGAATTTTCTGGGAACTTGGAGAGCCCAGTGATAGGCGATAAGCGATAAGCATCTATAAATATATATGGTGGTAATCAAATTCAACGTAGTAGCATAGCGATTCGTGTGTGTCTGCTCGTTGGTACCTTAGTACCTATTTCTTTGATCAGTTTGACCGCGCACTGAACGTACTCGACGCAATGCCTGAAATAAAATGCTACGTGTGTCGAAAAGCTGAAACAGCTTGCACAATACAATGCAGTCAAATGTGGTTTAGCATTCGTGAAATAACTCTTATCCGAGTTAAACATGAATCTTAAAAATTTGGAAGAATCTCATAGTCTCATAGTGAACTACTGAAAAGCATGGATATTTTAGCACAAATATTCCTGGTCCAAATGAGAAAAAAATTAAAGAAAAATGTATGTATGTAATTTCCATAAAAAATTAAGGGTATACAATTTTAAAGTCTTACTATTAAGTCATGTCAGGCAAAGCAAATATCAATTTAGATTATGCACCAATAACTAGTGTAGACGTAGAACGTAGTTTTTCTTTGTACAAACATATTTTAAGTAATAGAAGATTCAATTTTAATGAAAATAATTTAGAAATGTATCTAATTATCAATTTTAATTTTAAAAAAATAACATTTATCCAATTTTTTTTTATATAACTTTTGCATTTTTATAGTGCAATTTTTACGTATTTTTCGGTGCAATTATATAATTTTAATTTGTGTGTGTTTTGAATGCAATTAAATCCGGTCTTTAGTTATACGGTATAACCGTTATAACTTATATCTACATACACCAAAAAGATTGCAAGTTTTTTATTAGATGCAAGTGTTCAAGATAAAGTATTTCCAAATGTCTGGCTATTTTAGAAATATTGCTTCAAATTGAAAATCCAATGGAGATTATATATTTTGGCTGCTGTATCCAATACATACGCAAGCGAACTATTGATTGATACGATATTATATATTTTTAAATTATTGTTATTATTTTTGACAGCTGCGTATATACAATATGCATTCTTCAAGCCGTTGATGATTAAACTACGAGTATATTCAATTTTTTTTTTTTTATAAATAGGTACGTATAATTTTGACAGTATAGTTGCTTTGGGGATTTATTTGCAGGGAATTCAAGACTAGTAGATTAGAATGCTTGGATAGGACGTATATTAGATGGTTTTGCGGGATTCCCAAATTTTGTATGCCATATGGCCAAACCGGTCCAAGTACGGGTTTATAAATTATGGTTTTGAATTTGAGTTGCATTTTAAATTTTAGAGGTCTCAGTAGACGGAGACGTTTTTGGCCTGCTTATGTTTGGACTTGATACGATGAGTCCATATATGAGTACATATATACTTATCGATAACGATTTCAAAGTATTTAGTTGGATTTGGATTGATTTTGTTGCTATTTGGAGTTGAATGCATTCATTTCGACTTAGGGAGAAGTTGATTTGGATCAATTTTTGTGTTAATTTTAATTTTAAATTTTTTAGCCCAGACATTTATTTTATTTAAGTGTGGCTGGAGGGAATTAATAGTGAAGATGTGATCTTTTTCTGACATTAGAATCGCGGTGTCGTCTGAAAATGTGGCCAGTAAGCTTTTATTCGAGGTTAGTATATCAGATGTGAATATATTGTACTAATGATCTACTGATAAGGACGATCATTCCATCCATTTTCTATAACACTATACGATAAACAAAACGTTTTGGCGAGTAACCGACCAAGTAGCAAACAACAGCAAACTGTTCACACTGAAAGTTGCTAAAAGCCTAGAATATGCCTAAACAGTGTGAAACGAGCGCATTCAGATAAACATGGGATCTAACCTTTCCGTTCCGAGTTAGTCTATGGTCTATTCCCTGTCGATTAGTGTACAATTTTTTTGTTATCATCCGAAATATGTAATATAAAATATAGGTATTAATGTTTAAATCATTTCTTAATTATTTTTATTGAAAATGGACGACATTAAATATTTGAATTGTCTTGAAAAATTTTTAGGTAGCTAAATCATATACAATGCTAATCAATACAATTTTCAAAACAAAAGATTTTAAATCCTATTCAAAAAATTTATTGTAATTAGGTTTTATCAAAATTATTAGACTAACCAAAATCGCATACAATTTACAATTTTAACAATTTAGTTTTAAATTATTTGTACAATTTTTTTTATTTACATTTAACGTGACTTATGCGTTAGCGGTGTTTGTATATGCTTTTGACACTAATTTACTCTCCGGTAAGAATCTTGGTACTATTTGGATTACTGAACTATGGGAACGTAGTGATTAGAAGAAGGATTCAAAAACATTGATAATTAACTTTAGAACAACACATGCATAAATAATTGTGATGGGTACAAAGTACGGCACCGGTACATAAACAGAAAAGCGTGTGTGTCAACGACGACATAAAACATACTAGAAATTCGTTGGTACAAACCAGTATAAATTTCCCCATAAAAATCAAACTGGTGTGAATTTGAGACATTTTTTAGAGTAGATGATGTTAAAATTACGACACCGCACAGTGGGCCAGAATATGTCCAAAACTGGACAAAACTTAATAATTTGATGTTCAAAAAATTAATAATCTGTTATTATACTTTGATAATAGTGGGATGAAGCCACGGCTATATAGATAATATGGTCGCGGAACGAACCGTGGTAATGTGAAGCTCAAAACGTACATTGGTTTTCGCACCAGCACACAGCATTTTCTAGGTGATAAATAGTATGACTGCATTAAGAAGTATATTATTGTTCAAGCTATAGACCTATTAACAAACAACTGTTAACAGGTCTATGGTTATAATAGTAATAATAAATGGTAACCTAATAGTTGATAAGAAATATATATAATAACATTCGTAGTGGACTGTATAGATGAAAATTACCCAAACAACGTTTATAATTTCGTGGTTTGCATTTTTTATGTTTTGTTTTCACAGCCTAAGTGTCTGATTAAATTGATTTGGAAATCGGCAAAATTCATTACAAACCCTCTTAAAAATAAACCCTAAGATCGCCTCCGGTAAAACATACAATAATATAAACAGTTGCACTAGAGTTGTATATACTACCATATTGTACATTTTGTTAAATCATGAAATTATTGTTTCTGTAGATATGTTTTAAGATTAAATTTAGATGGAGTGATCTCATATGAATAGCTGATATTTTGAATTTAGGTCAAAATATCCAAAACATTTAGATATCTTTAATCCTATATTAATAATAATAATATAATATAATTATAGTTTATAAGCAATAATTGTTAAATTTTATCTGCTTATTGTTAAAATTTAACAATTATTAAAAAATATATAGGTTATATTATTTATTATATTGTATAATATATACATATTATCCTTAAATTATCAAATCCCTGAGGGGGTTCAACTAATGGGCTTCACTGATGACTTGGCTCTCCTCGCCGTCGCTCGTACTCCTGAAGCGCTGGAAGAAGCTGTAAATCCCACACTCGAGGCCATTGACGGCTGGATTGGGAACCACTGTCTATAGCTCGCATATCAGAAGACTGAGGCCATTCTAACAAGGAAATGGGCATCCTGCTCCCCTATCCTGTTCTCCGGCGGTCATCCGGTTGCAGCCAAGAGGAACCTGCGTTACCTTGGACTACAACTGGATTTCCATCTTACACCTTCAACAGCCGTCTAAAAATGGTCTCCGACAGGGCTTCGCAGGCAGCTCGTTCCATCGGATCCCTCATGCCCAATCTTAGAGAGAGGGCTTTTAATCCAAGAGAGCGAGTTCTCGTCCGAGATCCGACGCGTGGAGCGCAACATTGTCATTGACGCGTAGTCCAACAGGTGGAACCGCACGACCAAGGTGGCTTGGACTCGCAGGGTTCTCCTGGACCTGAGGAGGTGGGTCTCAAGACGCCCTAAGGACCTCGCTTTTCACATCACGTAGGCCTTAACAGGTCACGGGTGCTTCAGACACTGCTTCTGCCGGATGGGACGAGCCTCAGACGCGGAGTGCCTATACTGCCAACACCCGGAAGACACTGTCGAGCCCACGCTTTTCGTATGCCCTCACTGGGAACTCTATCCGTAAGACGTTAGAGCGTATGTTGGCGGAAGAAATATAGTTCCCAGGAGGTCCAAAACCTGCTCTGCGGCTCGTAAGATATCCTATCCCGGGATTCTTCGGCTTCACACGATCAGATCGAGGCAGCTTCCTTTCGCGGCTCACAGTCCTTCTACCGCATGGTAGAGAACATACTGAGTCACAAGCAGCAAGACGACAGGATAAGGGAGGCTGAAACAAGGGCTGACCAGCTGCCATAGGAGCAGTCACCTCATCAGTCCGGAGCATCAAAGTCTGCACATAACAAGACCCAGCCATCGGCTCAAGGTCAAGTACAGGTTAGGTGAAGTTTGTATAATGTCAGGAGATGACGCGGTCATACACCGCTCACCTCTCACCATAGTTTTAATTAGCACAGTTAAAATGTGAGCCTGTCCGGCGAAGGGAAAAACAGGATTCTACAAAACATTAATTAATTATACTTATTAATAAACGATGACGGTAGTTGGGTAGCAATGTGAAAACTGGTCTCCCACAGTTGTCGGTTAATTGAAAAAAAAAGAAAATATAAAATACTTTACTAAAGAGTTAAGAACAAAAAACTGGTCCGCAGACCACAGGGGCATTCCCAGTATACTCCCTGCGCACACCTACGATTTTAATTGCATACAGGGCCGGATTTGACGGGGGGCATTAAGGGCATATGCCCCGGGCCCCCAAATTTTAGGGGCCCCCGAGATTCGAATCAGAAATAAAGAAAAATTGCAATTTGGGTTCTCAAACTATATTTAAAAAAAAAAAATATAGTTTTGAAAATAAAAATTAATTAGGTGTAAAATATAAATTAAATTGTACTACAGTCGTTATTATTGCATTATCACGGTCACGTATAGTTGCGGGTTGTATAATTACATGTGTATGTTTATACGAGTATATATAAAAATCATAATGTAATCTGTCACAAATCACAATGTAAAATGTTGGAAAATTCAAGACGTCTATAATCGTTATCGGCTTAACGCTGTTTATAGCGTTTATGCCTTTATTGTGAATTATTTATTATTTTGTACATTCCACTTTTCGACTAAATCTCGTTATTTCATTATGATCAGCCAAGAATACTCATGGGCCTGTACTGTTCAATTGTTCTCGTTATTTCATTATGATCAGCCAAGAATACTCATGGGCCTGTACTGTTCAATTGTTTTAACATGGGCCTGTACTGTTCAATTGTTTTAACAAGTAATATTTATAATAAATTTAAAATTTAATAATTTTAATAATCTATACGAAGTAGAAAATGTTAAAATTAATTTATTATAATAATTAGAGAATGGATATTAATGTATATACACATTTTACTCATTATCTATTTTGGTGTAATTAAATACTTTTTTCATCAATTAATTTTTGTTATGCACCATTTAGGGCCCCAAAATATTTTTGCCCTGGGCCCCCTAATGTTTAAATCCGGCCCTGATTGCATATAGGTATCTTCAGAACTCATATCTAATAATATTATCATAAACTACAAGAATAAAATGTTGGACCTCAATGTAAACTATCAGATATAATATTAATGTATTTATACATAGAGTACACTACGTAGGTATATATTTATTTGTATTGTTTAAGTATAATATAAGTCTATAAAGTAATAATACATATTATAACGGTCGAGTGATATCGACAGGTTTCTGTGGTCAATAATAAATACTTCATCGTTATACTGTAATATTATTAAAAATGAATTTTTTTTTAATTTTTTTTTTTTACACAAAACGAAAGGGACTAGGAGAAACGAGTGTTTACAACAATCTTATATTTTGATAATATTATGATACCTACACGAATATTATTATGGTTTATATAGTACAGGCACGGATCCAGAGTAAAGATCTGGGAGGGGGGGTCCAACACTTTGTTTACAACACAAATACGATTAAAATTAATATGATTATTAATATAATGTACTATTTTATCATACATATCAGTGATTGGAATATAGTATTATCAAGATCTATAAAATTATAAAAAAAATCGGAGAAATAATATGTCTGGGGGAGGGGCTGGGTTTCTAGCCCCCCTGGATCCGTCCCTGGTATAGTAATAGGTACATTAGCGATTCCGATGATATAAATTATAATAATATTATTGTGACAATAATGTGAGAAGTGTTGGGCAAAAAAAAAAACATTTTTAACTAACCGACGATGAAAGTCTATAACGTTAAGTTCGATTAGAACTGAAAATTATGAGTAATACTAATATGCTGTTTAGTGAAATTAGTAGTAATGTATCAAATTTCTTTAGATGCGAACACACGAGCAGGTATTGCGAAATTTCACTAAACACTAGTGTTCTGAATTGGATTTTAATTTTACTAACGTAAAAATTGTATTAGTGGCATATTGAGTATTGTTTTATTACTATTATTATTATTTTTTTTTCGCGAGACCCACACATTTTTTATACTTATCACTTTAAGGACCGGAACTAGAGAAGGGATTTAACCCCGAGCGTATTCGCGTATTTTTGTTATGTGTATATTTTTTTGATAGATACCTACTTTTTTTTTATAGTTTTCCAGTATCTTAGGCTTAGGAGATTAGTAGGGAAATAGTAATAATAGAGATACGGTGGTGAGAAAATGCATTTTATAAAATGTTTAAAAGATACCGCTTTGAAATATTTCGCTTTAAAACCTTAAAAAAAAAATTTAAATTTGTGAGGTTATTATTTTTTTATCGAATCACCAACGAAATTGGAGACTATCGTACTGTTTTTACTACAGGTGCATGAATATTTCATATCTATTTCCTGCTTGTTTTGGACAGGTACTAAAGCCGTTCCCTTTGGACCAAATGAGCTCTAACTCGGGAAGTAGATTTTGTTTATTTACTGGCGGACTGAAGTGATAAAAGTCAGGTTAATTTTTTGGAGAGTTTGAAATTTCACTGGAAATAAGATATTTTCTGTATCATACAAAATAATTTAATAATAAATAGGGTTTGGGGGGGGGGATGGGGAGGACGGAAAATTTCATGTTATAAAAGTAAAAACTATTCACCTCTAGATCCGACGGTAAAAATGAAAATAGCGCCCGCACGGGGGGCCTGTAAGATCTTGTAATATCGTTTTAACCGTGAGAATTTTTTTCGCCCGTGTACCTAACATTCCTGAAAACGAACGGTTGCTGTAGTGGTAAAATTTTAGTTGGACAATGAAACCGCTGTTTATTATACTAGCATATGTGTAGATATTATAAATTATCGGTATAATTTAACATAGTAAATAAATAAATAATTAAATTATCACAAATCACAAAAATGTATAGCGCACACACACACCCGACGCGATTTACAAGACGTCTCGCATTTTACATGTAAACAATAGAAATATATATATATATATATATATATGTATGTATTATGTTATGTTTAATAATCATTATTGTGTGTATTATAATATATATATATATATAGATGTGGTAAGTATATTGTATAGTATATTTATTTAAAAAAAAAAAAAAAAAAAAAAAAAACAACAAGTATTGTTATACTATTAAAGAGACGGGGTCGCGGTATACATAATAAATATTGTATATGATGTATAGCTGTACTTAGATATAGATGACCGGGATATCCGGAGTGGAGGAGGAGGGTACATCGAATACGCGTATGCCTATTTATAATACATAATAAATATCTAAATACGAATAATTACGATACCGTATAGAAGAAAAAAAAAAAAAAACCCTTTTACAGGGGAATGAACTTATTTTTAAAATTATTATTATTATTTTTTTTTTAAATTTTTTGCTTTCAAACGTACGAATGATCTACCCATACTCGTTTGCGTTTAATTTTTCGGTCCTCCGACGTCGTCTTCGATCCCGGAAGTTTTGACGCTGCGTTTCACCACGGCTGCCGCGTCGTCATCATCCGTAGGCTGTTGTTGACGCTCGCGCTGCTCCTTGTCGGCTCCGACCCTGCTCCTCGTGTTTGAATTGTCACCGCCGTTCTTCTTCTTATTGTTATTCTTTTTCTGCGACAGGCGGACGCTGTTCGAATCTGTGCACGGAAACACACGCGTCGATAGCAATAGCGTTAATTTACATCTTTTACAGAAATATATACTGCACAAAGAAAACGAGAACCACCGGGGTACGCAAATAAATTAGCCCTTTCTCGACGAACATACACATTTGTGTAGGCTAGCGTACATCCAATTATAAACGAATATACAAAATGTACAAATCATACGACGATCGGTTTTAAAACGGCCCTACACAAATGCGTAGGTTTTTCTGTCTACATAATTTTAAGAAACCAACCACACGTTTGTTTAGGTTCGTTAATACCTATTACTTATATCAATAAATCAGTCGGGACTATAGATGTATACATACAAAATTGTTTGTGCTGGTTGTAAAACATACCAAAACAAAAATGAACGCTCGTCGAGAAAGAGATAGAAGGGACGAATGCACTAAAATACATTCAAAATCTCAAAAAATTAATGGATTATTTTGTGTATTAATTTTTGAAAAAAAAAATTAAAAAATTCACACATGGTCATGGGTGGAAAATATTAGGAGGGGGCTTAAATATTTTGTAGTATATAAAGCCGTGGGGGCTACTTCTTCACACTCCCAACACAAAAATGTTAAACAGAAATACTGCATGCTAACCTAATGATTTATTACAAATATAACACGTTTATTCAATTATAAATATTAGTATTTAATATACTATTTATTATTAACAACAAAGAACATAGTTCAACCAACGTTCTAAAAATACTACCGTTTTCCTTGTCAATTATTTATTTTATCAGTGTACTCAATTGTTCGATTTAGTCAGAAACGGCATATTAAAAAGTCTATAACAAGTTATTTATGTGAAACATAGATGTATACACATGGATTAATATTTGATTAAATTACAGTCGATTATTTCTGAGATTATGTTTCAAAACTTATAATAATTGTTTAATAATCAATAATAACTAGGTATCACTTTTGTTAAAATATATTATTTTAAAAAAAAAAGTGTACAATATAATCATTATTATTAAAAATAGGTACATATAATTATTTGAGGGGCGTTTGAAAAACATTTGAAGGGCTATGCCATTGTAAGCCCCCCTGATCACCGCCTATGCGCATGGTGTTTACAGAATAAAATTAATTATTGTTAGACGTATTACAATATATTAGTAACTGAAGATTTTAAATGCATATCTACTTATACATTTACGTAGATCACTAATTTTAAATTATAATTGACGGAAATTATCATTAAAAATACCGTAAA